TTTCAGCTCTATTCCTCTCTGTTAACATCATTGTTGGACAGTGAATTAATGTGTTAGGATTCTGATCATATTGGGCTCTTGGGTTTATTTTCTGTGTCTTCATTTCAGATGTTGGTACGTTTGCTCCATATGAGACATCATGTTTTTAAGCTGCCCATGGGAAGAATTCACCTATACAAGTCTGTCCAGTGTTGATTAAAGACTTTGGTCTCTCTAGCCATTTTTCTCTTCTGGAGATAGTCCTGTGATTTCACTTTCACAACTCGCATTCTAATTGTGCTGCTCTGCTATCTCTTTCCTCGTCTCTCCCCCGTGTGTCACGGTGTGTGTACATCTCACTCGAGTCAGGAAACTTGTCAGAATGCCCGTATTTGATTGGCTGAGCTGCATCACGTGATATGATTCACAACGCATTGGTCGGTGTTTTTCCTGCACAACAAGTGAATAATTCCGCTGCATAAAAAACTTCGCTGCATAAAAAATTCCCTTTTTTTTTTTGTCAGACAAAGGCCTGCGAAGTGGGTCGTGACCCACCAGTTGAGAATCACTGTTCTATGGTTCCCGCCTTTCCCTCATGGACAACTGCAAATTCTGGCTGGCAGGCCTGACTGCAGCTAAGAAGATGGAGACCAGCATTGATATCCATCAAATGCTTAGTAATGATATAGTTTTACATGGAAAAGAAACACAAGCAAATGTCTATCAGAGGATGCCGTGCAGACTATGTGAGGAAATAGAATGAAAACCAACTAAACGGTAAACGGAGGAAGTGAATATACACCAACAACATCAAAAACACAGACACATGTCACTGGTGGGTGGAGGAGACATTTTACCACATGAGAGGAACTCCATGAATAAGGAGGAAAACATGATGAGCAGTGTTTGCTTGTACCTGTGTTACTGTGCTTTAACATATTCCCTACCGTTTAATGTTTGACAGTAGAGTTTTAGTAGCCGATCTTAACACAGGGATACACGTATCCCCATGTACAGAATCAAAAAGATAATTTGCAGCTCACCTCCAGCACAGCGACCTCCTGGCCGTTACGAAGCAGGCGGAAGGCAAAGGGGTGTTTGTGATCGAGGCCGGGGCTGACCTCGCAGCCTCTAAGGGGCAGTGAGGCGATGTGGCTCTTCAGGTCGTCACGGTCCTTATGGAGGAGCAGCTGGTTGTCTTTCAGGCGGCACCAGCGCTCCCTCCAACGGTTATTGGACAACACGTTCAGGTAGCCTGTCGACAAAGTGCATACAGTCAGAAAAATAAAGTCAGAACAAACTACGCTTACTTTGTTTTTTACCAGCAGCGGTCGGATGTATTTTTTACTGGCCCACCTTTCTCACATGGGAAGCAAATTTGTACCCATGCAGTAACTTTCAGGAAAATTATGCATGCACATACTGAAAATGAAATGGAAGACAGAAGACGGTGGAATAAAGATCTCCATTTGAAAAAAGCCAATATAAAAAGAAGAAACGCTTATATAGCTTTCTATTTATTATTCCAACACACAATAAGCCTTGAGATGTGTCTGAGGGACACACAGAGACACACAGAGACACAGAGAGATGCAGAGACACACAAAGAGACAGAGATACACACAGAGACACACACAAAGAGACATACAGAGAGACACAGGGATACATACAGAGAGACACAGACACATTGAGAGACACGGAGACACACAGAGAGACACACAGAGACACATAGAGAGACACGGAGACACAGAGAGACGCAAAGATACACAAAGAGAGACACGGAGACACACACAGAGA